ATATAAAGAATAAAGATGGGAACGGATGTGTATTACAAAATTAATCATTAGATTAGAATTAATTTGGCTTATAAGATAGGAAGTGTTTAGATGACATATCAGATTAGCATGGGAATTCNTTAACACATTACAATTTATGAATTATTAAGGAATTTGATTGATAATTATAAGAAATAAATGATTAACATGATTAGCTAAAATATAAATAATTTAATTTTAGTTTCGGGTTTCCGACATTTTGTACGAAAAAAAGAATTTTATTTTTAAGGGATGTTTCAAATGTTGGATATGTGGATCACGTTTATCATTGAAAACTTATCACAATAACAGGAATGATACTCGAGATCTTGAGGTAACAAAATTTTAATCGGAATTATATATAGATATATATATATATATTCTCAGTTGATGGCGTTTTATTTCTGGTTTCCAATTTATACATTTATATTTAATTCCTAATATTGATTTCAGGAAATAGAAAAGATACGCTGTGCAAGTGATATTAAGATTTCTGTGATAATAACAATTTTTTTTGTTTGAAGTTCATTTTACATCGTTTATCGTCTCATTGAATGCATTAGGAATGAAAAGATTTTGTAAAAATAATTGGATAAGTAGGAAGGGGGATAAGAATAAAAAAAGTTAGCAGTCAAGAATATATTTTAAACAGTGGGAAAAGAATGGAAGAAAACTTTCAAATCTTGATTGATTAAATGTTATTCATTGATAATTTTAGGTATATTGTGCTGGGCATGTACCAACACCTGGGCCACATGATCCAATACCACATCGATCCAATCTTTTATACAGTCCAAAGACAAAAGGTGAATATCCGTATAATTTAATGAGGCCAGCTGGGCCATAAAGATCAGTAGTTATTTGAATACAACTTGCTAAATGGTAAATAAGTTGAAAATGTTAACGAAAGTACAATTCGGATTGTCGTATTCCTTAAATAAATAATACTTCAGTAGTGTATTGTGAATAACCAACAATATTAGATCAATTATCTAATAAAAACTTACATTAACAAAGTTATAAGTTTGAAATATCTTAAAAAACTAGGAAATCTGAATGATCCTTCCGGGAAGAATTTTCTGAACTGAATACTGGTTGCTTATTTGTTCGGCATCATAACTTTTTCTCTAGGAAACAATGATGCCCGTTTTTTATTTAAAACTTTTTACTCATTCCAACATCGTGTCACCATTTTTGAATTTTTTGATAAAAGTTTTTTCCTTTTTCTTTCTTCTGTTATATTTTTAGCGTAACAAAATATTAAATTAAACATAATAATATCATTGCTGAAGTATTTAAAGATCTTTGGTTCAGAAAGAATAAATCTGAGAAATCAGAAGTCATTTACGAAAGAAAGAAAATGCACCACAAATAGATGAATGTTTCATGTAAATCTCATACTTTATGCTTGCATGAAAAAAAAAATGTTCAGTAAAGAATTATTATCCATCATTAAATATTTAACAAGAAGCACAACCTTTTAAAAAAGTAATATGAATTGCATGAGTTGGAGTAAATGAGCTAATTTCTTTGCATTAATAATTGATTAGTATCTTAACAATAAAAAAGAATCTAAAAAAATTTTTTTTTGCTAAACTGTTTTTAACTTTATTGAAACTAAACTAAGTCTTTACATCAATCACTTTTTCAAATGTTGTTGAAGTGTAGTATGAGATGACAGCATTACAGATTTTTTTTTTCTATTTTCTTTCCTGTATAATTCTTTTTTGCTCTGAGCACGCTCAAATTCTCTGTAAATTGTTTGTATATAAAACAATTCCAATTTAAATTGTACTGACACATTCACACTAAAATCTTTTTATTCCGGAACTCATTTTCCATTTTAGTACCTTTGTACGCGTGATTATTTTCTCAGGATTAAAACAAATTAATCTGCAATATTTAAAAAGCTTAAAATTTAAAAGCATTTATTAAGCAGCAGTAAAATGATAAAGTTTTATGCGAAAGTTATACATTATAAGGATTGAATATTTCGATCCAATAACCATCCGGATCCTGTATAAATGCCAACCCTTTCATGCGACCATCATCGGGTTTCTTCACGAACTGGACACCTAATTCCTCGAAACGTTTACATGCTGCATAAACATCCTTTACTGCTATACCGATATGTCCTAAAAAAATATGACTATTATTTTTACTATGCTGGCCCTTGCCTCATGCAACTTTAAATTTTTATATATAAGCCGAATTTTTAAGAGCTAAAAGAAAGTGGCAAAACTTTTAGTGTGATATCCTCTCTCTTTCACTTAAACATTACAATTTTTAATCAAAATCTCACCACATTTCTGATATACGACAAAAAACGGCATACTTACTTCTCCAGTACCATTCATTTTTCCTTAAAATAGCATTATACAACATAACTTACCAAAACCGCGCGGTTCCTTATTTCCATTATGATAACTAAAATTCGGGTCATTTTCGGTACCCCAATTACTGAAAAAAAACCACTCTGATCTAAATTTACAGATAAGCTAACCTGTTAAATTCACATATTTTTATAGTAAAACCCATATTTGCAGATAAATATAAATTCTGAATATATATAATTTAATGATGAATATGAATTAAGAGAATAAATTAAATCAAAATACAAGTGTACCAAAAACTTACTGAGTTAACTCAATTGTTGCCAATGTCGAAAGTGCATAACGTTTCTGCTCTATAGGATCACTAGGGATTTCCGATGCAGGCTTATAGCCCAAGAAATATAAGGAGAATTTCCCTTCTGGAAAATCCATCTGCTTCAGTAATCTGAAAATATGACTTTTAGAAGCATTATTTATAAATTGATAATGTAAAAAAATATTTGATAAAATGAACAGCAAGAAATGCATGAACCTCATTCCTAGAATATTACAGTAAAACGGCAATGTTTTTCGAGGATCTTTGATACGCAGCATCGTTTGCTGGAAATAAAAATCGTTCGTTTCTGGCGGCGCCTCTTTCACCAATGCTTTGATCTAAAATCATTTCCCATATAATCGTCAGTTATTTCTTTAAAAAATCAAAAATTTTACGATAACGAAGAGAAAATTTTTAATATACAATATATTATTACCATAAATGTTAAAAAACAGAAAATTTAGAGATGTCAAATATAGCATATATATAATATATATGTATTATATATATATACTTCGTTAGCTGGGATCGGTCCGGCAACATTGGTGCTTCCTCCTGATTCGCAATGATTCGAGCCCATACTATAAAAGCAACAACTTACTTTCACTGTATCTCAAATTTTGGAGAACCAAAGAAACGGATTATCTAAATAATGATATTAGATAGAGTATCAATGATGTACTTTTTATTGGCAAAGTTAAATAAAACACCGAAAAGACGGTGTAATTTATACCATTAAATCTATACCATTAATGTCATCAATATAACGAGAATTTAGTCACAATGAAAAAATATGAATATATTTAGCAGAAATGACTTAAGTTGAATATTTTCTTATCTTACATGAGTGAATACATTCGATCCAATTAAATTTAATCGTATCTGTTCAGTTCTTTCCTCTTTCATGATAAAATTTACATTTCCGTTCCTTTATTTACCCGTCCTATATTTTCTCAGTCCTTTTACTTTGACAAGCGATATCTAAGATATTTCACAGAACTGTGCAAATTTGTTTAATGAACCAAGTTATATTCTGATTCAAATTTCACCACCACAACTTACTTGGTTTATAATTTTTATCACTGTCAATTCGGATTCGAGTGTAAAGTAAGTATAATGTGATAGTCAAAGCGTAAACAACTGGAGACTGAAATTTTGTTAGTTACAGATCAATGCAGTTATGAGGTGGCAGAAATAGTAGGAAATAATTCAAATATTAACGATTTCAAGTTAATGGAAAGCATTTGAATTGATTGACAATGCTGTCAATCTCTTTCAACATACATTTATTAAAATATTTGTTATGTTCAACGAATATTTTCAATCATATAAAGGGAATATATAACGATTTTATTGAGAAGAAAATATATATATATATATCTACGAAGTGGAGGAATTGAAATTCATGATGCCAACTCTCAAAACCTATCCCGCTTCATATCTAGCTTTTTAGTGGTGATTCTTAAGTTTACTAACATAGCCCTCCTTTAACTAGTTTTCATTTTCCTTCTATTTCCAGGGTGCAAAAATGGCTCATAAGCAACCGCAATTACGTTACGACGTCATAGTCATAGTAAATTCATGTAACAATATAAAAAAACCTAACGAGCAAATTTATCCGCATATTACCTAGATATTGTATGCTATATAAATTCAATTTGAGTGTACCAGTCATGCCTATATTTTCATAACTAATATTACCAATAATTAACCTTATGCCAGGCAAAACGACGTTCACTTTTGCCTTTCGGGAATTTAATACGATCCGATTCCTGCCAAACAGCTACTCCTTTTGAATTTCGCACAACTGGAAACCACAATAATGTTGTCAATTTCATGAGAGTGACATCCGGAAAACAAAAGAACAAATAATAAACAATATTAGGAAATTCTTCATTCGTAATAAAAATCGATTGGAGAAAGGGAACGAATATCTTTTAACCTATCAAAATTCTTTTATTTTACAAATGCGGTGATAATAATAATAATAACAATAATAGTAATTATAACAATAACGATAACAACAATGACATAACAGTAATAATAAAAGTTCTAACAAAAATGGTAAAACAAAAACGGTGGGACTATAATAATAGCAACAAAATTAAACAAACAACAACAACGGTAGCAAACAATAATAACTTGCTGCCGTTGTATGGGTTATATGAACAATAAGGTTACTGAAAGTTATTTATGTTATGTCACTTAGCTGAATAGACTTTACATTCAGCAAGATGACGTATAAGCGAAAAAAATTTTAACAGTAAGCCAAACAGAAAAAAAAGATCTAACAAAAATTATAAGCAGTAAAATTAAAATAAGTAATGATGTGGTATAGCTCTCGACTATGCTTACTTCTCGAATGACTTTTATCTTCCGTATGTTATCAAAAAGAACTATGACAAAGTAAAGAATCACCCATCAATATGAGTTGCTCCTAACACCCTTCACGAAACATATAATGGACTTAATTTACTACGGCCCTAAAACTCAAATTTTTATGCAAAATACTTTTCCCAAATCACTTATTTTTTTTTAATTTAACTTAATTTTATTTTTGTGAATTTATCGTAGAGAGATTTTATTTGGAGAAATTTTTCCTTTCCAAAATTTTTATAAATAATTAATTAAAATTTGACCACAATAACAATAACCTTTTCTAAAATTAATTAAAAAGTTTGATCATAATAAAAGTAACCAAGGAATAGTAAATAATCGTTATGCATATCATATTTCTGCTCTTTTACTGTAAAATTAAACCTTAAAAACGGTAATCATAATTTTAGTTAATGTTAGTTTTTCTTTAAATTAGCGATTAAGTTAATCATTTTCATATAGCATCATGCTATAAATAAATAAATATGTTGACAAGAAAAAACAAGCAATAAAAAAATAAATGTAAGTAATTTATGATTAACAAGGTATTACCGCGCAAATAGATGACTGCA